TGACTAGAGCAAAGCCATACGATCTGTGGGTTTGAGGATCAGTGACTAGAGCAAAGCAATACGATCTGTGGGTTTGAGGATCAGTGACTAAACCAAAGCAATACGATCTGTGGGTTTGAGGATCAGTGACTTACGATCTGTGTGGGTTTGAGGATCAGTGACTGGGTTTGAGGATCAGAGCAAAGCAATACGATCTGTGGGTTTGAGGATCAGTGACTAGAGCAAAGCAATACGATCTGTGGGTTTGAGGATCAGTGACTAAACCAAAGCAATACGATCTGTGGGTTTGAGGATCAGTGACTAAACGAAAGCATTACGATCTGTGGGTTTGAGGGTCAGTGACTAAACCAAAGCAATACGATCTGTGTGGGTTTGAGGATCAGTGACTAGAGCAAAGCAATACAATCTGTGGGTTTGAGGATCAGTGACTAGAGCAAAGCAATACGATCTGTGGGTTTGAGGGTCAGTGACTAAACCAAAGCAATACGATCTGTGTGGGTTTGAGGATCAGTGACTAGAGCAAAGCAATACGATCTGTGGGTTTGAGGATCAGTGACTAGAGCAAAGCAATACGATCTGTGGGTTTGAGGATCAGTGACTAAACCAAAGCAATACGATCTGTGGGTTTGAGGATCAGTGACTAGAGCAAAGCAATACGATCTGTGGGTTTGAGGATCAGTGACTAGAGCAAAGCAATACGATCTGTGGGTTTGAGGATCAGTGACTAGAGCAAAGCAATACGATCTGTGGGTTTGAGGATCAGTGACTAAACCAAAGCAATACGATCTGTGTGGGTTTGAGGATCAGTGACTAGAGCAAAGCAATACGATCTCTGGGTTTGAGGATCAGTGACTAGAGCAAAGCCATACGATCTGTGGGTTTGAGGATCAGTGACTAGAGCAAAGCAATACGACTAAACGAAAGCAATACGATCTGTGGGTTTGAGGATCAGTGACTAGAGCAAAGCAATACAATCTGTGTGGGTTTGAGCAAAGATCTGTGTGGGTTTGAGGATCTGTGTGGGTTTGAGGATCAGTGACTAGTGACTAGAGCAAAGCAATACGATCTGTGTGGGTTTGAGGATCAGTGACTAGAGCAAAGCAATACAATCTGTGGGTTTGAGGATCAGTGACTAGAGCAAAGCAATACGATATGTGGGTTTGAGGATCAGTGACTAGAGCAAAGCAATACGATCTGTGTGGGTTTGAGGATCAGTGACTAGAGCAAAGCAATACGATCTGTGGGTTTGAGGATCAGTGACTAAAGCAAAGCAGCATACCATACGATCTGTGGGTTTGAGGATCAGTGACTAGAGCAAAGCAATACAATCTGTGTGGGTTTGAGGATCAGTGACTAGAGCAAAGCAATACAATCTGTGTGGGTTTGAGGATCAGTGACTAGAGCAAAGCAATACGATCTGTGGGTTTGAGGATCAGTGACTAGAGCAAAGCAATACGATCTGTGGGTTTGAGGATCAGTGACTAGAGCAAAGCAATACAATCTGTGTGGGTTTGAGGATCAGTGACTAGAGCAAAGCCATACGATCTGTGGGTTTGAGGATCAGTGACTAGAGCAAAGCAATACAATCTGTGTGGGTTTGAGGATCAGTGACTAGAGCAAAGCAATACAATCTGTGTGGGTTTGAGGATCAGTGACTAGAGCAAAGCAATACAATCTGTGGGTTTGAGGATCAGTGACTAGAGCAAAGCCATACGATCTGTGGGTTTGAGGATCAGTGACTAGAGCAAAGCAATACAATCTGTGTGGGTTTGAGGATCAGTGACTAGAGCAAAGCAATACGATCTGTGGGTTTGAGGATCAGTGACTAGAGCAAAGCAATACAATCTGTGTGGGTTTGAGGATCAGTGACTAGAGCAAAGCAATACAATCTGTGTGGGTTTGAGGATCAGTGACTAGAGCAAAGCAATACAATCTGTGTGGGTTTGAGGATCAGTGACTAGAGCAAAGCAATACGATCTGTGTGGGTTTGAGGATCAGTGACTAGCAAAGCAATACGATCAAAGCATCTGTGGGTTTGAGGATCATAAACAAAGCGATCTGTGTGGGTTTGAGGATCAGTGACTAGAGCAAAGCAATACGAACAGTGTGTTATAGGGTCACAGACTAAACCAAAGCAATACGATCTGTGGGTTTGAGGATCAGTGACTAGAGCAAAGCAATACGATCTGTGGGTTTGAGGATCAGTGACTAGAGCAAAGCAATACAATCTGTGTGGGTTTGAGGATCAGTGACTAGAGCAAAGCAATACGATCTGTGTGGGTTTAGAGCAAAGATCTGTGTGGGTTTGAGGATCAGTGACTAGAGCAAAGCAATACGATCTGTGGGTTTGAGGATCAGTGACTAGAGCAAAGCAATACGATCTGTGGGTTTGAGGATCAGTGACTAGAGCAAAGCAATACGATCTGTGTGGGTTTGAGCAATCAGTGACTAGAGCAAAGCAATACGACTAGAGCAAAGCAATACGATCTGTGGGTTTGAGGATCAGTGACTAGAGCAAAGCAATACGATCTGTGGGTTTGAGGATCAGTGACTAGAGCAAAGCAATACATCATCTGTGTGGGTTTGAGGATCAGTGACTAGAGCAAAGCAATGATCTAGAGCAAAGCAATACGATCTGTGGGTTTGAGGATCAGTGACTACACCAAAGCAATACGATCTGTGGGTTTGAGGATCAGTGACTAGAGCAAAGCAATACGATCTGTGGGTTTGAGGATCAGTGACTAGAGCAAAGCAATACGATCTGTGTGGGTTTGAGGATCAGTGACTAAACCAAAGCAATACGATCTGTGGGTTTGAGGATCAGTGACTAGAGCAAAGCCATACGATCTGTGGGTTTGAGGATCAGTGACTAGAGCAAAGCCATACGATCTGTGTGGGTTTGAGGATCAGTGACTAGAGCAAAGCAATACGATCTGTGGGTTTACGATCTGTGGGTTTGAGGGATCAGTGACTAGAGCAAAGCCATACGATATGTGGGTTTGAGGATCAGTGACTAGAGCAAAGCAATACGATCTGTGTGGGTTTGAGGGTCAGTGACTAGAGCAAAGCAATACGATCTGTGGGTTTGAGGGTCAGTGACTAGAGCAAAGCAATACGATCTCTGGGTTTGAGGATCAGTGACTAGAGCAAAGCCATACGATCTGTGGGTTTGAGGATCAGTGACTAGAGCAAAGCAATACAATCTGTGTGGGTTTGAGGATCAGTGACTAGAGCAAAGCCATACGATCTGTGGGTTTGAGGGTCAGTGACTAGAGCAAAGCAATACGATCTGTGGGTTTGAGGATCAGTGACTAAACCAAAGCAATACGATCTGTGGATTCACGTTATGTCAATTCATCAGTCCCAGGTTTTGAATACTATTGTTTCCTCCCTGGATGAGATTTAGTTCCAATAAAAGCAATAAATGATTTTGTTTTGTTGTCCTTATTAAGATGTTGCCATGCTAAACATCACAATTTTAGTTCGTCATCTGTAAGCTAGAGACCATTTGCGTATTCAGCGTGGATGGTCTAACCATAACTGACGTTCTAAAGTCGGACTTCAAACACTATAGTAAATAAAATTGGACTGAAAAGGTGCCCAAATAACATGTAAAAATATTCAAACTATAATAATTGCTTGATTTTCGATTTCATTTCAACTTTATTTGTACAGCAAGTAAGAATACTTCTTAAAGTATTCGGTTTCCTGAGTCTTCTCATTTGGAGCAATTTTAAAGTAAGAAAATCGTTTCGGGTTTCAGAAAAAGGACTGGTTGTCTCCTATACCTAACAACATTTTGTAGACCCAAATATATTCCTACAGGACAATTGACAAATTGTCTAACCCTCCACAACAATTCCAGTTTTTAATCACCGATTTAATCCATTGCATGGAATCTGAAGATTTCTTTGCACGAGAACTTTCTATTGATAAACAACCCCCGGTTGATTGGACAAAGTATCGAGAAGAGCAATGTATTGCAGCGGACAGGAGCAAAGCTGGACTTAAGTCAATCCGTTTTTTCGATGCCAAAACCTTGGAAATTTAGTAGTAATGAATGTTTACAGTTTCTCATTCGTTTCAATTTCCTAAGACAATTCTTGCTGTAGTGTTGATCAATTTGTCGATGGTACTGAGAAACGTATGGGTGTTATACGTACGTAGACAAAAAAATGGATTAAAAATATCTATTGTAGATTCTAGACAAACATTAACGCTTCTGTACTGTATACGGGCTGGGTCGTGTTTGGAATTTCTCTAAGGAGTCTGCGGTCACTTTTGGGCCTATATTCAAGAAGTTTTCACATCCGATTTTTGTTTTGTTTTCGTTTAACCTATCGATTTATTTGACGGAATCTAAATAAATACACTTAGCAGTGGTACACGAAGAACAGAATGGGTTTTTAATAAGTACCAGAAAAAACGATGAAATGAAATATCTGAAAATACAGTGTTTCATTTTGTATAAATAATTTAGCATATCAACTCTTTTATTAATATGGATTACCTTCATATTCTTTTCTTTTTTCTTCTTACCTGTGTGTAATAGTTTTTTTTTTATCATAGAAATGAATTTACATAAAAGCACTAATCGCACGAATGCATTTGTTAACAACTTTTTTCATGGACAGAAGAATGTTCCCGATCCTGTTGTGAGTGCTACTGTTTGTGACACTGATGTACCGTAATAGTTTCAGTAAAATTCAGTTCTGTCAGTTCAGTGCGTAAATGATTTTTTTCAAAAGGGAAAACATTAAGCATACTTCGTTTTTTTCCTGTCTGCGATAATTCTTGTATACTTTGATAAACAAACGTACTTTGTTATTCTTAAAGTATTTACTTACTGTTTATTTCAAGTAAATTTTGCTCGACCAGCTTATTAGATTGTGCTTAGCAAAGTATTCGAAATTTGTTACAAATATTAAAGAAGATATGTGGAAGACACATTATTAGGAAAATATGATAAATTCTAATAGTTAATAAATAAATGAACTCACCGGTTGGTTAGGGATCCCACAAAAGGGTTAAAGAGTAGTTGAACCAAAGCTTTTGACGCAAATAATAATCCGACTTTGACATTCTCATTGGCTAACTCGACATGGCGTGACACTTCTTCCTCGACCAACACAATTTCTGATGATTTGTTTTTTACGTTAGTTGTCCGATTTTCACAGAATATCCATGGTCCAGGGGTTGTCTGGGCGTAAAACGATGAAATTGTTGTAAAACTGTTCCATCCTGGACTACCCGGATCTAGGACAGGGTTTGCTGACTGAGAGAAATTTGTATTGTTCGAGCAAACCATCTCGGTTTTCGCTTGTGCAACTGAAACATTCATCTTGTGAAATGGCGCCTCCAGTTTTCGTATGAAATTTGGAATGATTGGAACTGGAAAGGAAAAAATATAAATGTTTTAAGACAAACGCTTTAAAACAACCTCGATAAAAATGTGTTGATTGTTTGGAGATATAGCAGTAACTATCCAATATCTTACTTAGCCATAGTTTCGTATTTCATTACATAGAACTAAGGTGTTCCGAATGTGTGTTTGGTTTGGTACTCCATATTTATGTGAATTTAGGATCTGCTTAAAGAAGGTATCAGTTGACAAAGACTTTTCAACCTTTGACAACAACAAACATCCACCGATACATCGGTTTCCAGTTGTCTCATTAATAAACACAACATTAAAACAGAGGTTAAACTTACAAGCCATTGTGAACAAACAAAACTAATCACCTTTACGTAAGAGAACGTATCTAACCTCTGTTACAGACACGATTAATATCAAAGCAAAATTACTGAAATTATTTTATATCACTTAAAACAGACCACAGAACCATGATGTAATATGATACAAATGGGTGATATGATGAGAAAGCAATAGCCCTTGAAGGATTTAGACAGCCAGTAATATTACAAAAATCAAGTACACTCAAATTTTCACAAACTGGTGAAAATATGTTTTCATCAATAGGAACACTTTTTTAACGTAACAGTACAATGCAGTTGTACGTCAATCTATCTTATTAATACAATGAGAATATACCTTGATGATAAAAAAAATGAAATCATTAAGTTGGCAATTTTTGGCATGTAGTATACATTCGTAAATATTTTAACATTACAATGAATGTGTCCAAACATATAATTTGAGGACATAGAATGCTTCAAATTATTTGTTACGAAATTATACCAGTCTTATTACCTACCATTGCGTTTTTGTTAATGAAACAGGATTTTGCAATTCATCTGTGCTTGAGGAATTTCGATTGAACTGCTTTGCTTTTTTTATATATATTCATATCTCGAAAATAACGCTCATTTGAAACATTAATGTTGTGTTCTCCTGTGCTGCGACCTCAATGATAAAGTTGTGAATCAAGTATTTCAACCCTGACACTTGTTCATGTTAAGAAGAACTTTGAAAAGAATTATCAAAAAACTAAAAACAATATCAAACGATGACGGAAGTTCACCAGCTAGTCTATTAAACTTGCTTCCTTGAATATTAGAAAAAACAAAATGAATGTCAATGTCTGCATTTATCATTAGAATCAATGGGGCTATCATTTAATATTTCAGATAGTTTTATATTGTTTTTGAGATATCTACACTTTCTATCTTATACATAGCTTCAATAATAATATATATGAAAAAAAAGCTGTTGAAAAATGAAAACGATTATATTCAAGCAATAACAATCACACTTAGCCATGCTGAAGTTTGCACTAGAGTTGTGAAAAAAATACAGATTTTGTCGATAACAACTATCGCCCATATTCGCACTCCTGGCACAAGACACTGCTTTTATCAGATGTTAAATTAACGAAAGATCACAATCAAACCTGATGTGAATACTGCCATGATACACTCACCAACAACCGTCAGAAGCATGTTGTCGAGAAACAAGGCGATGAACACAATGATAAGCACCAACTTTCGGGACTGTCGGCATCTTGCAAGACAGTCACGCAGTTTTACAGGGGAGACAACTTCCCGAACCGTCATTTTTCGCAGGCCACAGAGCGACCTATAACTACCAGGTCACTCGGTGTTATTGGAAGTCACACGGGCGGTCAAGGCTGACGGTCACTGCAAACAGAAATATGAATATGATCATATTAAATTATGAAAAGATACAGATTTACATAGAGACACTTGGATATGAATCCGGAGATCAACGGTGTGTGTTCCGAAAGGGTAAACGATTTCTGATGCATTCTAACCATCAAAATTAAAGTCTCTAATTTGTCTCCTACAATGACGTAAATAGGTTATTGTCATCAATTTGTTTTTGGATAGTACTTTCGTTTGCTGCTGCTTACATTTTTGTCTATCGATCAACGTTTTGTTGTCACGCGCTACCGTTTCGTTTTAAATTGACTTGTTTCCAAAACCATCCCGTCCATTCAGCGGAACGCGCACGTCTGTGATATATTTAAATTGATATTTGCCTCAAATGACAAGTTTTGTTCGATAGAATGATGTCTAATGCGTGTCAGTGGTATAAACACTATAGAGAAGGACAGTCCAATTTCTTTTTTTCTCTTTATTAATCTGTATAGCGTAAATGCATCAAAGGGCGTTTAAACCTAATCGGTTTATATAGTACATACAAACTGGAACACAATATGAGATCACACAAGAAATATGTAATGACACGCTTACGGGGAAATCTACAAATAGATGAGAGGCGTCAAACGATGACCTAAACTGTAACTCAACTAATAGTTATAAAACATTGATAGTGCTTTCATTATTCATCTCTGTCTAAAATAAGATACCTCGTGCTTACTATTGAAATGAACAAGTCCTAATCAATAAGTCAACATAACAGAACACAATAGAGAGATCACATGTCAATGACGGCAGAATTGAATATTTCTCTTATGGAAATGTACAAGATTAATCAATATTTCGTCATCAATTTGCTTTTGACAAAAGTCCTTCTAATTTTATTACGCATATGGCCTACCATATCAAATTCCTGATGGCAGATTCGGATGGGGTATCAAAGACTATCGACCCAGGTATCACATACCATAAAGTGACCATAATATAATACCGGTTCTAACGGTTTTAACGATTTCAGGACTGACGATACCAACGTTAAGGGTAAGAGATAGCGTTCAAGTTCAACACAAAGCGTCTTGAAGTGGTCTTAACAATTTGGAGCGAGTCTTTGATGTCAAAGTGTATAATATCTTGAAATATATATAGCGCTCGAACGCAATATCAGACCCTGAAACAAAACCGTGTGTCAGATGAATCATATAAGAGAAAGCGATGACAAATAATTGTTCGGCGATTCCCCTTAAACACATAGGTTGAAAATCTTTTGTGCTTTCTTTAATATGTGTAATTCTTATCAAATCTTTATCTGCAAGCAGCTACAGATCTTACAGAAAAAAGTCATTACCAGATAACACTATAACATAGTTTACGCTGTGTCTTTTTACCTTCACTCTTTTTTCCCACTCTTCACAAACTCATTCAGAGTGATTCAAAAATGTTATTTTTCAATTTTTTTTTATGTTACTTTAAATTCTAACACCGTTTATTATTTTCAGTATATCAAACTTTTTTTGATTGACTTTTCAGTGTTTTTTTTTCCAACTTAAAACATCGTTGTACACATTGAAATGAGCATAATTAATATTATCTGAAATCTAGAAATTGTAAATGGACTATTTTTTCTATAATAAAATTTCTCGTGTTGACGTGATTATTTGGAAGAGAAATAGCATATTTCAGAGAGCGTATAAACCTATCAGATAACAGGTCAAAACATATAGAAAATAAAAAGTGTCATGATCAATAATTTTGAAATGTAACGACCATTTAATCAACCACCGGCATCGAAACAAACCTAAAATGAATTATATGGTATTCACAAATATGGAGTCGGATGGACTCCTGAAACTGCTTTAACAATCACAAGTCTTGTCAATACATGATTCTCTGATTGGAAACCTTTGATAGCATCAATATATATTATTTATATTACCCGTACTAATACGAGTTAAACTGACGTTGTGTGCGTTAAGTGCGAAGATGAATAATTATTTGTTGTATTCTTTTTCTAGGACCTTTTTAGACCTTAAATATACTTTTGTATAGCCGTATAGTTATGTCTCATAGTCGATTCTCCTGGTCGCTCTTAATTACACCGTTATATGCCAATACATCACATTGGCTAACATTCTAGCCATCAGCCATCTGTGTATTGACGTTAATCTAATATGTACTACCCACTGTGAACCATCCGTATTTAACTACAGACTCTATTATACACCACAGTGAACTGCTGTTAGTAGTTGTCCAAGCATTAAATAACAGCCTTATATCAGGCAAATCATTTTACCTGGAACTTAATACAAAATCACAAACGATGGATTTCGTATCAGGTATATCCTAGGTATTAATATGGTATGATCTATAAATGGGGAGAGGCTCAGTATGAATACGTTATACTAAACATGTCCTGGTATTATGTAACAGAATGTTTGGATAAGGTTACAGGGATAACGAATAAGGTAGTGAATATCTAGAGTCAGGCAAAAATGTGTCTGGGCTAGTTGAGTGTGAGGTAGGACAAGAAAGGCTGAGAAAAAAGAGGGGATATACATTGATGAATTATGTAACATGTGTACAGAGTCATGATATGTGGAGTTTTAATTAAGTAGGAATGGTAGAGTCAAGAAATGAATTATGATACGATCAAAATAAAGTGTAATTAATAGGTTTAGATGTGGCATGGCGTATGCATTATGACGACGACGACGATGATGATACATAACGAATGCATAATGATGATGATGTGGACACGATTTTGATGATGAATGCATCAGCATAGTGGTGGTGGTGGTGATGGTGGTGGTGGCGGCGGTGATGGCGGTGGCGGCGTTGGTGGCGGTGGTGACGGTGGCGGCGATGGTGATGGTGGCGGTGATGGTGACGGTGGCGGTGGTGACGGTGGTAGCAGTGGTGGCGGTGGTGGTGGCGGTGGCGGTGATGGTGACGGTGGTGGCGGTGGTGGTGGTGACGGTGGCGATGATGACGATGATGATATTAGTACAGCATGTGTGTTGCTGTATGTGCAAACTGATGCCTTGTCAATGTATTTGTCATATATTTGAAAAATCTCGAAACAACAAAATAAGATTTAAAAAATACTGAATTCATTATATGGCGTTACTGTTTCTATTTCTGAATTTGAATTGAAAGATGTTTTTACTTGTGTGTCTTTTGTACGATCTTTCACAGTATAGTACGTCAGTGAACGTACTGTTCATGAAATATTGATAAATACGTAGACACTAAATTTCTGTTATTATCACACTGACATGAACGTATTTGATAAAACGACACCAAAATATTCTGTTCCAGAGTAAGACCAAATCCATTGATATCCTTTTGGACAATTTAGCTCGGATAAGAAGTGACTCGGTTAGTGCAGTTTGTCGGCCTCAAGCAAGCAACACAGAAGTATCACATATAAAGAACATATCAAAAACGGCACTGATTAAACACAGGATTGCAGGAGGTACGATTGACTTGTGGAATAATGTATCATCCATCTCCTTCGTGAAAAAAATGAGATGATAATTTGACAGAGAAGAACCTTCTTTAGGTAAACCCTATTCCACCTTAAGGACCGTGGACTCGTGGAATTTTTGCTTTGTCACAGAACTAATATTCAATGCATTGTAATTACACAAATGTATGTCTTCAGTCTTGTAGTTGTGATTTCAGTACTACATCAGAAATAAATCTGATCTAATATAAGCTTTTCTATACAAATTTTAACATCGATTTTTATGTAGCCACGGTCAACGACGGATTCTTTGACAAGATCACAGAAACTGATTTCCATGGTATCTCGTCAACTAACGATTACCTTACGGAAGAATAACTTCATATACATGTACGTCCAGGCTAATCTACTCGCGTAACAGAACGCATTTATGACTGATCATGGTTGTTCAATGTAATTATCTAACATGAAGTTTTCATCCGTTCATCTGGAAACGCTTTGGCTCAAAGATCAAAGAAAGTGGCATATTGTAACATAACACGGATAAAAAATAAACTTGTCAATGTCAGTAAAAATAAAGAAAAAACCCATAACAGGTGCATCGTAATGGTTTGCGTTTTTATTCCTTTTCAGCTATCGTGTCGTGCACATCTATATCATATCAAATTAATGGCAGGTTCTCAAAATACAATACGAGTCAGTGACAACAAATTAAAAAAGTTATATAAAGGAACGTTAGATTTTGTACATTAGAATAGGATGCTCACCAATAACACATCATGATCACATTTTAAAAACAGAGAATACACATTTAAAAGTAAAAACAACATGTTAGACAGTAAAATTAAAATCAAACTTAATAAAAATGAAAGGAGTCCAAAATACAAGCAGGAAATATTATACACGGAGATCACTATAAGTATTACAAGGAAAAAAAGAGGAGGTGTTCTGGAAGGATAAGCGTTTCTGCTATATTACCGCAGCAAGTATGCAAACGAGCATTGAACACATCTAAATTCACAGCAAACGAGGAATTCTCGGATATTTCAAAATGGAATCCTGATAAGTAATTTCCAAACTGCAGTTCTCTAAATTTTGTGTGGTAAATTTCTCTATCTCGAAAATAATGATTTTCGGCATAAACAATAGAATCTCAAATTACCTGCGACATGTTTAAATTATGGGAAGGGAAACAGAGATGTTTTATCAAGAAAGGTAACATTCAAAATAGCCTGGAAACAGCACATTGATGTAACCTGTATGTCACATTTGATATAACACAATTACGAGATTATTTACTAATGGGACTGCTGCACCTCCCCGTCTAGATTCATACTTTTCTTTTGATCGCTTTGGATTTTCTACGGTCGCCTCACAGGCTTCAAAATTTAGGCCCTTAGCATCTCTGACGAGTCCTAAAAGGACGAAACAGCTGCATGATGTAGCATATCACTGACAAGTCCTAGAAGGA